TTCGTTCAAAATTTGGAAGTGCGTACGGTCCCCCGGGGCAGACACTGGGGGAAGAATATCGCGGCAACGAAAAAACCGGTGGAGCAGGGAAGACTGCAGGTCAAGAGTGGCAGCGGCAGAAGAATTATAAACAACATGAGCCAGCTGAACCACGCTAAGCAACCCTAACCCACCAAATCGCACCGGCAGCTGAGCCTGAGACCAACCACTGTCGGTCACTTGAACGTTGCAAATCGACGACAGGGCGGTGCGCAGGGCTTTGTCAAATTCGCCCAATTTAGAAAGATCAATGTGTTTGGATGTACGCAAGAAGTACATCAATTTGGGCAAACTGAAGGCATTGGGGATAATAGTCAAGGCATCATGGGCCAAAAGACAGGAAACACGACCCAGGGCGAATTTGAGCTCAGAGAGCTTTTGGTCAAAAAACTTTATTTGGTAATCGCCCTCGACCAAGGGTGTGCCTAAAAAACTCAGTTCTGATGCACCAACTCTAGGTATTCCAGCCAGCGCATGTGGCACCTGAAATAAACTTTGCCAGTGAAGTTTGCATTTCTTAATGTTTAACTCTAAACCAATTGCAGCGGAGTTATGCTTCAGATATTCGTAGCTATCGGCCAGAGTTGGGCCGTCCGAAGTAATGCTGATATCATCCAAATAAGCGCAAACGAAAGTGGACGAAACTTTTTTTAAGAGTGGATGAAGAGTTAGTGCGAACAGCAAAGGACCAAGGGGATCACCCTGCTATACCCCCCCGGACGATTCTACAACCCAAGAGTGGTAGCCAAGAGAAGACACTCCGCCATAGGCAGAATGGCAAAAATTATAGATATTGGGGCAAAAAAGTTTGACAGCCTCCAACATCGAGTCTCTTCTCAAGGCGTTGAAGGCATTTTTAAAGTCCAGTTTCAGAAACCCCCATTGATCGGAGAGGTCGGTGACCAATCTTTGAACCGCATGAACAGCGGCCTCAGCGCCACCCTTAATCCCGACACCCAACTGATTCGGGTAGAATTTGGTCTTGAGTTCGACCACGACCAGGGCCAAGGCGCATTTGCCGGCCAACCTCCTCCAAACATTCCCGACCGCAATCGGTCTGACCCCTCCGTCTTTCTTATGTAAAGCTATTAGCCGGCCTCCAAAGAAGAACCGGCGGACGGAGAGTGGGCAAGCTCCAGATAAGATCAAATTAATGAGTTGGATTAAGGAGTTCAGTGTGTCGTCGATTGGCAAGGGGCCAGAAAAAACATCCTTAAGGTGCTGGGGTCGTAGGCCGTCCAGGCCTCCAGAAAAACCGTTTTTGAACGATTTAACGGCCCTCAGCACCTCGGCGGGAGAAACGCAACCAGCCGTTGGTGCCAATGCGGGAAAGACCCGCCGAAATTTTTGGGTGGATGGAACATAATTTATCGAAGGTGGCTGGCGAGCTCTCCGCCAGGCCCTCCGGCAAACAGACAAGTCTGACAGCCGAGGACAGGTTTTCTTGTTCAATACAAGATGACACAGCGTTGATCCACCGATCGGGGTGTTGCTTTTGTGATTTGGCATTATTGAACCCATCAAAGCACAGTACCAGGGTTTCAAGACCAATAGTTGAATATTCGCTTAGACGCTTGTTGACCAGATTGCCCTGGTTGACCCGGCGACCCCCTCTGGAAGTCTTCTATAAAACGTATGGGACAAAACAGTGGAGTCTAACCCAGTGAGCCGGGTCACCAGAGTCATTACAAACAGCCGTCAGCAAGGCGTTCAGATCATGTGCGAACATCTCCCTGCATGGCTTAGGGATATGGTCGTACACCGGTACACATTTCAGCACGGCCGTCAGCTTGTCAAAAACACCAGAGTAATCCAGGTCGAGAGGATCACTGGAGAGCGATGCGGCCGTCGACCGTGGACAACCTTGGCTTGGGGTCGGGTGCGGCACCGAGAGGCAAAGCAGCCTTCGCGCCCGATGGATCAACTTTTTTCAGGGACCGCGAGCATTTCTGTCCTTTCACTTTACCTCCGTGCCGACATAACTTCCCGTCTGGAGTGCTTCTGTAGTGGTTAAAGCAGACGGGGCACTGTTGTAACGTTGGAGCCATATGTGATTAAAAACAACCAAGAAACGAAGGAAAGGAAACCAACCAAGGGGGGTGGATGGATAAATGAATGGATGAACAAGCGAATGACTAAATGAACGGGCGAGCGAACCAACAAATGAATGAGTGAATGAATGAAGGAATGAATGAGTTAATTACTGAACGAGCGAGTGAAGGAAAAAAAAAAGAATGAATAAATGAATGAATGAATGAATGAATGAATGAATGAATGAATGAATGAATGAATGAATGAATGAATGAATGAATGAATGAATGAATGAATGAATGAATGAATGAATGAATGAATGAATGAATGAATGAATGAATGAATGAATGAATGAATGAATGAATGAATGAATGAATGAATGAATGAATGAATGAATGAATGAATGAATGAATGAATGAATGAATGAATG